GAACTCTATAGTTATTTTAAACAACTGTTTTCTCCGTCTTGTTTCACCGGACCGTCCGATTATGCGTCAAACTACTGCATTAAAACCCCCATAATCAAACATGAACCGCCGTAGCTACCGTTAATCTTCATGATCGTGTTAAGAACACTCCTAACAACGCATCAAAACTAATCGGTCATTTATTTTCTTAACGAATCATGTTTCAACATGAAAAAAAAATCACAATGAATTATTCGTAAGCACCTAACCTAAAAAAACCGAGGTATATTCCTCGCGCGATTGAGGTCATCCCTCTGACAAATGGAAACGATGAAAATAAATCCCGATTACTCCCTCGAAGAAAGGCATCTGCTCCCGAAAACAATGCATCCGACCACAATCCAGTGCATCCGGCATCTCGCCCACGCATGCCAACACCACCATTAGATAGGGGGAATTTTGCTCTACTTGATAGGGGCGCCAGCACATGCAGGCGAGCCACCAGCCACACCGAAACGACCATCAAACGCACTGCTCACAAAAGCAAAACACGTCCCATCGAAAGTGCAATCTATAAATGTATAAGAACAATCTTCAACTGGAACGTACTCACCAAATCAATACACCCGAGAGCACATTCCCGATGCTTCCATGCATATTTTTCTCTAGTCATTTTTAAACAACTCCTCCTCCAGCGATTCCAACCACACACTAACTAAATATCACTTTTCTTTTTCAAATCGCTCTGTTTGTGCACAATGCACATAGCAAAAACCTAACAATAGATCAGCGCGGTCGAGTCACACCGGCAACAAAGGGAAGCGAGAGCACACTAGGCTCCTAAGCAACAGAGGGTAAAGCCGAGGGGGGCGACTCTATCTACAATGCAGAAAAGATTGTGTTTTGCTGTGGATAGCTGCACGCACGCTGAGTAGATATAAGGAAGATTTATGTCGATTTTGAAGATTTCCTGTAAAAAGATAAAGCGCGATGCAAGTAGATGCGAGAAATGAAAGATGATTTTTCAAAGATTGCTTCGCTAGTGTGAGATTTTTTGAGCATCTAGAATTGAGATTTAGATTTGTCGCCCCCCTCGGGTAAAACATCAGCACAAACCATTCCCAAAACAAATTACCGAACCCAGGACACAAAACTAATCAAATGCGACCACCGAAAAACTAAAGAGCCTAAATTTATAAAGAGGCGATATGTCAAAATTGGAACAATCGATTGTCTGTCAAAGTCATAGGAAAAGTCATTCCAATCGAGCAGAAGACCTGTCAAATGGATAAGATGTCGTCTCTTTATAAATTCAGGCTCTTAACGAAAAACTACATGCCAGCACAAAGCCAGCCCGAGCTCAAAAAGAATAAACAAAATAGCAAAAAAAAGCACGCAGCGGAGCAAAAACACACAACCGTTCTCGAAAAATTCTCAAAGCGAACTCAGCCATAAAAAAATTTCAACATGACAATATCTTTGAAAACTGTTTAAAATTCTAGATAAACATTTCAAAAGGTGCTATCTGCATTTAGTGATTCTCTTTATCGACTTTCTCTTCCAATAATAACTCAACTGCAAAACCTATCCCTGTTGTATTTGACGTTTTGAACGCTAGATAAGAACCTTTTTTTATCAAACTATGTGGTCAAAAGAGCGCGAAATCTGCTTCAAAGCAGTTCTTATCAAAAAAAAAGTCGATGAAGAGAATCGATCAAAGCAGATAGTACCTTTCGAAATGTTCATCGAGAATTGTATAATTACTAATGAAGTAGATCATGTATTAATTTCCCTAACTTCATCGGTACTCAAGTTATTACGAATTTTAAAAATAGCAGGGTGACCAGCGAACCAGGAAGCCGGAAAATAGCCGGGTATTTGAAAATTAATCGGGAAAACCGGGATCAATAAACCTTATCATATGGTCACTTAAATTATAGGTTGTATTTTAAATGGATTAACATGTGTATCTTATTAAGAATTTTGCCCTCAAACTTATTTTAAAGTTTCCGAACTTAATCTTCAGAATTTGTCATACTATTATTACTTTTCCAATTGATTACATATTAAATCAAAAAATTCCAAATAGCGGTGCTGGTGGTGCAGTGGTAAACGTGATAGTCTCTCACTGCAAAGGGCCTTGGTTCAATCCCAGACGGTGCCATTAGGATTTTCTGAGGCATAAAATCTCTGATTATGCCTGCCTCCCTGGCGTAGGTAGCACTGGTACTCAGTGCTGAAAACAAGATCGATGGAAAACAAAACGACAATTGACGATAGCATTTCGATAGCGCATGAAGTGCGCAGGTAATACATAACAATTCTTCCACTTTCAAAGATAACTGTATAAAAATCTATCCTGACTCTGACAACTAAACTATCTTGCAAAATAAAAAGGTTATTTCAAACTCATATCAATTTCAAGTATTAATTAATCCAAAGTTAATCCGAAAACTTACTGTACACAATCAGTTATAACATAAATCCTCAGAGCGCGTTGTTTTTCTTGCGCGCTTGAACTTTCGCGGCTCCGTATTGTTATTCGACATTTGGTGATTTCTTTTCATGATTTTCATGATTGAACCTTTTGAATTGTTCATCTAGAAATGTTTTTATTTATCACTTTAGTTATAGGGGAAATTATGGCTTCGGCATGACAGACTATTTTCGGCAACTCAAATTGAAACACTAATTTCACTGGATTTTCTTACGAAAACACTTCGCTGAATGCATTCAAATGATTCTTTAGGCTTTCAGCTTCAATTTAATTACATTTTTACCACTGAAAAAAAAAAGCAATCTAGCAGGGTTTTCTTGAAATGAAACACACGTACTACAAAATGCTGCTGATTTCGAGTTGCCGATAAAAGCACAGCTGGTTAACACGCAGCTCAAATAGAAAGGTTGCCGAATAAAAAAATGCTGCCGACAATAGTCGCTCTCACTACAGAAGATTGGAGCTTTGTAAAAGCGTTTCAAAACAGTTTTTGACCATTCTTTCGACTGAAATTGTTAGAGCAGCTGGCAGCAAAAGATTGTAAACAAACCAATACTGCATATGTGTACGTTCCTTAGAGAAAAAGGCTATAGAAAGATGGTCACTGCTTAGGTTGCCGAGAATACGTAAATTCCCCTATCTCATTACGATAATAAGCGATTCGGAAAAAGAAGAAATTAGACGACTGACGCCTTGTGTCGTGCTCCCACGATGTGTAGGTAATGGGAGATCTGATTACTGCGGACTTACTCAATGTGCTTATCACTTGGGAACCAGTGTGAACTGTCAAACGGGAACCAAACATTCAGAAGCAACAAATGCAGTTACTGTTCTTATTCAGCCAGATTCACTAAACCAGCAGGTTCAGTGATGAAAGTATAAAAACCAGCACAGTTTTTATGACTCAGCTGTGTTTTAAATAGCAGTTAAACATACATTGACGAAACATGTATGTAAACAAACATTGATAGAGTCATGGTAGCTCGAGCCCTTCTTGCTCAGAGCTTTTGGCGGGAATCAACTGAGAACTAGAATCTCAAAAAATTCCACACTTTTGATCGAAGTGCTTAAACACTTGATTTTTAAATGCACATGCACATTGCACATTTAGTTTAAGTGTATTTCACCATGTATAACATGTTAATTTCTAGTGTTTCAAACTTTGAAATGTTGAAAATCTTTCACAATCTATTCAAGAGTATTGCACATTGAATCACACTACTGTTCAAAAGAGATGGATTTAAAGTTTTTTGCAATTCAATGCGATGTGAATTGCTTGCTCAGAAAGGTAAACATCGAAAACAAGACTTGTGACTTTATCCTATCAACCCGCCTCATATATGAGAACAACCGTGGCACAGTGAGATCGAACGAAGACTCCAGCAGCAGCACACCCCCAACAGTCCATGATCGAATCCCAAATCACACCAATTACGTGAAAGCTCTGGCCTCTGGCACACAGAATCCAAGTGTGTCACAATTCAAATCCATAGTGTTCAGGCATGATTCATGGCATAAGATTCACACATGAAATGGATGTGTTTCACAATAAGCGCAAAATGTGAAATGTGACACACATGATGATGACGTGTGGAGTGTAGCAAAACAGTTTTAAACTTTAGAAAATTTTCAAGCAGTTTTCCACTGGCTAGCAAAATAAAATCGAACGACTCTGCAGCACCCAGTGGGAGATTAAAAATGTCTAGTGTTGGTTAGCTCCAATCAGTATTAAATCTCAATCAAGAATGTCCAGCTGCTTTGATGTCGACATCAGAGTTGATCAACACGACTCTAAGCAAACATTTTTTGCAGATTATACAAACACCCTCCCTGTTAAAAGTTAATTAGAGTTGGAGCTAACCGCCATAAGTGATTTTTCACCCATTAGCGAGCGAGAACTTTAACGTAATAAAACCAAAGAAGTTAAATATTACTACCTTCAATTTCTTCTCATACGTCATTTTGATCCAGTATACCGTTTTCAATTTATGGTTTTTGAAAAAAAAAAAAAACAAAACCATTATTTACATAAGCCCTTATAAAAACTTAATCCGGACTTTTTTTATTTACGGAAAATCATCTTGCTGTTATTTGAATGGTACAAATTGATGAACACATAAATTCATATAAAATTCAGTTCTTACTCTACCCATCAACGACAAGTGAATATTGAGTAACTTTTATTTCAAACCAAATGCTTTATACAAGATTTTTATTGACTCATTTGAAGAACGATAAGGTTGAATGATTGCTTCAAATGTGTATCTTGACTCGACATTATCTTTCCAGATGGAATGACTGAACATGTTACACTATGCGATAACGGTATTGGTTCGAATGCACACATAGCCGAACAATAGGATGCATGACTGTTATCAATGACTTCATATCGTTTGTATGTAGCGTTTTGGTGTGGACCATCCTGTGCTGTTGGAACAAGTGTGATGACAAAAGGTTTATATTTTAGAAAACCAAGCGACAGTTAGCATTGATGCAGCGTGAAGTGAGCACTTCACCAGAGGAACGGAACAAATTTTGAGTGTTTAATTCTTGTCAGTTAGTTGCATTTAATTGTTTTACAAAATGAACGCAGGTAAGTCATCCATTTGGGCTACTTTTAATTCTTGAATAATTGCTGTGTTGTCAGGTTAACGTTTTTTTTCCGAAATTGCATTTAATTGTTTGCGTGTGAGCCAATTAATATCAATTAGTTTATGGGTTTGGTACGCCTCAAAAAGAGAAGGATTTGAGAATTCGTTATAAACCAGGTATTATCAATCGGAACAACATTTTTGACTAATTAAATTTAAATGCTTTGCAGCTAGTTTGATCAAGTCTTGCAATTCGTAAAAGTTTATGTTCCTAGTAATACCATAAGTATTTTGAAAATAATTTCTAGTGTGCTATGAAACCCATGCGCTTTTTCAGTGGTCTTATTGCACCCAAGTATACCTTAAACATCCATCTCGAAGATTATTGAGAAAGATTTGGATTTACGGTTATGTGAAATGTGTGATGCGCGGAGAGGCTGACAAAATTGGGCATTACCAAATGGGCGTAAGCCAGCTTATCTATCAGCGTCATAGCATACTGACACTGAGGCTCAACATTGCAATTATCTCCAATATGCGATAACACAAAGATCAATATTAATCTTCGACAGGATTTAACTGGATGCCATGGTCCGCTCACCAGGGAATCCCACCAGCCGGTGTGTACGCGGGCAATGACCAGGACGGTTCACCTATCTACGTCGGACGGTCCTTTCACGAAGGGGATCAACTTCCGGCGAAAGTGCTCCCTAGCAAACAGGCAGCTTACGTTTCGCACAACGGAGTAGAGATCTTCAAGTCACACTTTGAGGTAACGGCGGCAGATAAGAAAAGTCCCCGACTTTTTCCTTATCATCGCGCTATCGATGAAGAAGAATGACCTCGTTTTGATAAGTGAGTGTTTACCTATGAATAAATGATTTCGCGATTTTGCAGGTGCTTAGTGGACAGGGATTTACTTGGGTGCATAGCAGCAATGGTCATGTACCGGCTGGTGCCGTGTTGGCCGGTAACACTGCCTCCGGTGAGCCTCTCTACATTGGGCGTACGCATCACGAAGGAAGTCTGACACCGGGAAAGATCCATCGTAGCCATGGCTGTTTGTATATTCCGTTTGGAGGAGCGGAACAAAGCTTCCTGAACTATGAAGTTCTTGTTGGGCAGCAGAGATGTAAGCAAATAACGGAAAAGTTGCAACTCGAGACTAATTTATCCGATTTCAGCAACCTGGTCACACTGCGCTGCAGGAGCACCGGTGCCACCGGGAGCCATCCTAGCTGGACACGATGTTGACACTGCTCTGATGTACGTTGGGCGTGCCTTTCACGAGGGAGAACAAATACCCGCCAAGGTGATCCCCAGCAAGCAAATTGCCTATATTTGCCACAATGGTCAGGAAATTCCTAAACACACCTTCGAAGTGCTGTGCAACGGTAATGTCACTTGGGTTCCGTCCGGTTTTGGAAGTGTTCCTCCGAATGCCGTTTTCGGTGGACGCACTTCGACGGGTGAAACGCTCTACATTGGCCGTGCACATTACATGGGTAGTTTGACTCCGGGCAAGGTTCATCCAAGCCACCAGACGCTCTACATTCCATTCGGGGGCAGTGAGGTAGCAGTTAAGAACTACGAAGTATTGATTGAAAATTGAATGTATTATTTTTGACAAATGTTCATAGAAAACCACACGTCTGTACAGTACACAGTTACACGAATAAATGCTTTAGTTTAAAAATCACAATCTCTTGTCGTGTCTTGATCCTTTGCCACCTGATCCAACAAGACGAGCTCGTATGTAATGATTGTTCCGGCCATCTGAAATCGAGACGCATCGTAAACATTTTACTCTAGAACCCTTTAAAACCATTCAACACCTACGGCCAGTATCAACGGACGGGTGATGAAGAAAAAGCGTTTTCCGGAAAATGCGATGCCTTTCAGCGATGCGTGTTCCAGCAACCGTTGTAGGTCCAAGTTCCAGCTGTAGGTGGAAAAATTGCGTAGTAAATCCAGGGGTTTCAACGATGCTTCATAGATCGATGATGTTACATAAAGCATAACGAAGCAGCGGCTGATCAGGAACAACAGCGAGTACCAGTAGTAGAATGTTGTAACAGCGGTCGCCTTTGGACTGAAAGAGATGGAAATGGGAACGACTATATATTTTTTTTATTTTTTTATTTATTTGGAGGGAAAAGCCCACACTAGTGGGTGCAAAACCTCTTTATACATTATAAAACAGATTCTTAAGCCTAACACGGGAGATCAGTGTTTGGAAATCTGTCAACATGCCATTGAACTACCGTGTGTCAGGTTCGTAACTGGTCATGAATAGATATTCACAAATGAGTGAAGTGTCAGACACCTTTGCCGAATAAGAGTATTCAGTTTTGTAGCACCAAATGAATGAACAAAACGAAGAACGATGGTTGCACAAAAAAAAAACACGATCTCAACAGTTCACCGAATAACGCGTTCAATGATTGTATACAACTTTGAACTGCACATATCTTCTCTTCGTGTCTACCGCACAACATTGCCGTACAGATCCATGCAAAGCAGTGGATGATACATAAGGAATCGCAAACGTCATCTTTCTGCCGCACCAACTCTGGCAGTAGCACAGCGCAGCTAGGTACATAATAAACATTCCTTCGTCCTGCGGTACCTTATGAGCGAATAAGGGTAGAAATAATCGAAGAAATGGAACGCGGATAAGTTAGTTAGTTTTGATTTATTATGAACACGGATCAATGTCATGGTCGGTTTAAAATTAATGAAACTAAATTTATATACAGTCAAGAAAACTCTGATATTGAAATTAAATGAATAGATAACTTCCTGGTATCTTCGGGGAAATTGTTAACTGTCCTTCTTTTTGTACAATGTGTCTTCCAGCGGGGACACCGTAACATCCGTAAAAGTGGTAAATTCATGAAATTGGAGTTAGAGCTGCGCAGTTATTAGCGGAAGCACTTATTGGTGAGTTTTAAGAAAAAATATGGGGTTTTGGTCCAAATATGTACCCTGGAGGGCTAAGGCTGGTCCATTAAAAGATCCGGAACATGCGTAAAAGTGGTCAATTCATCAAACTGTTTCTAGAGCTCCATTATTTTTCTTTGCGAACACTCTTGTTGAGGTGTTTTTCGAATTAATTTCATATTGTGGCCAGAATATTGATGATCACAGACTGGTCCTCCGGAAGATCCGGATAATCCATAAAAGGGTCAATCAAGCTTGCTACAACGTATGAAAAATCCGTGAATGGATGTCTTCGGGAAAGTTTTCATATATTTTTTGGACAACTTTGCAGTGACCTTGGTCATCAGAACAACTTTGCAGTGAATAGTTATTTCTCAGAATGCCAAAATCTTGAGATATGATACATGCACAAGCTCTTACGTACACTAGCGCAGTGTACGTAAGAGCTTGTGCATGTATCATACACACTTACACACTAAGATGTTGTTTCCATGTTCGGAACAGCTGAACGTTCTGTAAAACTTTGACCTTTATTTTAAAGGCTATTGAATTTGAAAATAATATCAAAACATTTTCAACCTTGTTTAAATTATCAAATCTTGTCATTTCAGTGGAGATTTAGTTTCAAAGTAGCTGAAAGCAATTGATTTGAAGTGCATAAATTTTACCGAAAAGTTCAGCTGTTCAGATTTCAGTAAAAATTACCGAAGTCGGCGATAATTTGTCCATCATTTGAAAGGACTTGGTTAGTTTAGCAACTATGTATGTAGAAGACCGTATATTCCAAGTAAGTCAGGATCTTGTGATAAAGCACATCCCAACAAACATTGAATGTTGAATTAGAGCTTATTCAGGCAAACGTAAGCTTCTTCAGCTAAAAAATAGCTTATTCAGCTGTTGATCAACTCAAATTGTTTGTTGGGATATGCAATCCCAAGCAACATTTTAAGGTTTATAAAATACTACAAAGCTACTATAAAACAAAATTCATAAAACCCTGGTCAAGAATGCTTTGCAATTGATGCATCCACCAAAACCTCATTGATGCTAGAATCTGTCTAGTTGGCCCACTCTGGAGAAGGTTCTGAAGGGTATATTATCGAAGCTCTTCAAGATTGATTTACTGCAAAATGGTTGTACGATAAACGCATTGAGATGCATTTCAAAACCGTATTTAAGTTACAATAAAAGCTATTTGGCAACAATTAAAACCATTATCCGAGCCATTTACCCTAGCTGCTTGCTAATAGTACGTTCAGACTACAGAGTTATAACATGTTATAGCGCTATCTTGATGGTGGTTTCTGTGTTGCAATTATTTGACAACCGTTATAACATGTTATAACTGCTCAGTCTGGACAGCGTTTAAGTTCACTAGAAAAACAACAACCAAGATAAAAACGTGCTGGTTCTAAAGTGCTAAAGAACTAAATTTTACTGAAATCGACTTCCCTACGGTCGTTAGCATCGCTTCAATTTTTCCTCCAACTTCGTTTATCCTTCGAGATATCCTTGTAATAAATTTGGTTTTTATTCACTATGAGGATCCATCCTTAAAGTTCAATTTGTAAACAGAGGAGATTTTATGATACACTTTTAAAAACAAAATATGCCTTTTACCTTTTAAACGTAATGGTTTTATGATTGTTTTGATAATGATAGAACAGGTTTATATAGTATTTTATCAAAAAATGCTAATGAAGTTTATGATTGATTTATAGAACAGTTTTATGGTGGGATTGATAACTACTTTAAATTTAATTTTCAAACAAGACAGTTTTTGACTTCTCGCCAGACAGGAAAAGGTTTTTAAAACAGCGAAAAGGTGAACTACTAAGCTGGAACGTTTTACACTGTGAAATTCTGTATTTAAACTAAATGGATTGTTCGTTGCCTTTATAAAACCATCATAAATCATAGTAGATGCCAAATGATTGCAGAATTGTTACTTGGGATAGAGCCGCGTAACAAGAGCATTCGCAACTAACCTTTTCTTCATGTAGAAGGCCTTGTCCACCGGGGAAAAAAAAAACATTGTTGAGGACTGTATTTTCCATGAATGTCAGGTTCATGAGATATAAATAGCACATAAAAATCTCATATATACACTTACGCCACCTAGTGTCTGAACTCTGAACTTATATGTCCACCATCCGAAAGATCTTAGTCACCTGAAAATGTTTGCCGAACACACTAACTTGCTATATCGCTGGGATCACGGGGTATTCCATTTTTGAACCAATTAAATCAAATCCCACATGATACGTATATTAAATTTACGGGATTCACTCGTGTAATCGAAAAAAAAACTCTAGTACTGCGGACACGAGACGAGGCGCCCACTGTTGTGGCGACGGTGCGGCATCATACAACATGCCAAAAGATCATGTGGATGAAATGTGGCGTAAGGCAAACCTCGACAAGATTTTTTACCATGCTAACAGATGCCACTCCGCCGCCATATCAGAAACTAACTTGACTAACATCATGTTGAGGTTCGCCACATGCAATGTTTCAGCATAATGTTTTGACATGCCACATCGCCGCCACAGTAGTGGGGCAGTGGGTGTCTGACATTAATCGAGGTTGCATGCATGTTTTGTGGAATGAGAGGAATGTTGTCATGATGTTTTGACTTGCTAGCACATGCCACATCACCACAACAGTGGACGACACCTTAACATCGCGACCAATAAAGAAAATCCAGTCAAGAACATGATGGTTGCTAGGGATTATATTTTGTTGGAAATCCTCTGAAAAAGTTTTCAGGAATATAGTATTTCAATGTTTATACTTCTTAAGAATATATACGCAAAATTAGGAACCTGGCAATACAAAATCTCCCCTAATAACCCACGTAATTCGATGTGAAGAGTTAATGTTCACTTTATGCAACAGCTTTTGACCATTCATATTCAGTGTCATTACATGTTGCTGAATATGAACCATTCGCCAGTGTTATACTGCGATACGCAGATGTATCATGAACAGAAACTAACGCACACAATCCATGCCGAATGGTACACACGAATATAAAGATTCTTTCGATGATACCGTCAGTAGTAAATGGTTTGTGTGAACGTATTTGATCATCGATGCAGCAAGATTTATTTTTCTCTGTTTCTTTATGTGCCATGATTCGTTGTCCCGCCGATACAATGAAATCAGTTTAGTTTACTGACACATGGGGGTTCAACGGTTGCGGAAATACACGTGAATTATTCAGTGAACAGTGAAAACTTCAAACACTGCGGGAGATATTAAAATCAAAGCAGTTATAACATTTGTTGAAAATCTTGCACATGCTAGGCTCATTAGCGCCGTAGTTTGTGCGAGAAGCCGGGATGTTGAACAAATGATAAGAACGTAAATTTACGCGTCTGATATTGACATTCAACTGCTGCAGAAGTGAATCGCAATTGATGTCCGATCGCAGGAGATCAGCGATGAAGGTAGCCTTAAAGACGCCTCGACGAACACTAAGTAATTGTAGGGACATCAAATTACAGCGACTTTCATAACTAGGGAGATTGAAAGGATCACTCCAGGGTAGCCAACGAAGGGCGAAACGTACAAATCTTCGCTGAATGGCCTCAATACGATTCACCACGTTGCTGTAAAAAGGAGCCCATACTACGGAACAGTACTCTAATGTGGAGCGGACTAGCGAACAATAGAGTGTTTTTAAACAGAAAATGTCCCTAAAGTCTTTGACGAAACGAAAAATGAAACCAAGTTGAGAAGATGCCTTAGCGGAAA